TACTATTATTGTGTGAGTAAAATGAAGTATAATACATTTTCTTACCTTAAAATGTAATATTTTAAACCGTGTGCAAAATACAAAGTGGTACAATACTATGATCCTTTAACATACAAATTAGGCCTTGTGACGTGCACCCTCCCCAGCCAATTTAAATAGGCCTCAAATAACCGAAAGTAAGTATGAAATATTCCTTATTCAAGACTAGTTTGTGACTTAATGAATATAGCTTATTATTTTGATTAAAAAATTTAGTTTGATGCAAAAATGTTGTGACCCCCGGCAATAATTGTATGTTAATTTGGATTATTGAATGTATAATATTAAAATCTTAAGGGGTTGCCGGGTTTTGTTGTTTTTGTTTGATTTAGTAACAATATATATATTTATATGCATTATACATATTCATTATTAGTTAGGAACATTATTTTAATAAAAAATATTTGAGTACAGGTACAGGTGTATTCGCAAATATATGTACACTGTATGTATATACATATATATATGTAGTACTACATTGAAGTATCAATGACTAGAAAAATAACTTTTATAACTATCGAAAATAATGACAATTTAAAAATATATATATTACAATTTTGTTATGATGAATATTGATAAATGTACAATACAATTACCCAATGTTTTTAGTAGATTTAGTAAAATAAGTTTCAATGTACAGTGCCTATATACCTAAAGAATAAAGGTAAAATATAATATACCAATCATGTTTTTAATGATAGGTAAATGATTTTCTAAGAATAAATATTTCTCAACTTTACAATCAATGCTTATTTGATTATATTTAATAATCGTTTAATGTTTTTTTTTTTGAAAATTTAAAATTAGAAAATAGTACAAGTATTACCTCAAATACAATTTTTACTCGAACCTATAGTTAAATTTCCAATTCACAAAGGCCTACTGAATTCGAGTTTTGTACATATTCGAAAAATATCGAGTAACTACCAAGTGTCCACGTCTATTTAAAACCTAAAATGGTGTGATGAAAAGGTTTACCAGTCTTTTATTAAGCACAGTAAAACTGTTTTGGGCTTTTTTCAATATGTAATAACTAATTTAATATAAAAAACAAGACCAAATATCAATAATAATTAATAACTTATACTTTTTAGTATTATTATTTTTTGTTTTTTAATAATATTATTAAATTGTTATTTAATACGCGTTTTTAACAACTGCAGTACTTATCCAAATTCTATAATGAGTTACAAATGTTTTTATATTATTAATTGAATATTTAAAAAAATATATTTGCATCATGAAAATGTGTCGATAGGTCATTGATATTACATATGCGCTATAATACCATAACAGCAACTAAATATAGGTACTGTTACATATTTATTATAATATATTTTCATGCTTAAAACAATAAAATAATATGTATAATTTATTGTAATCAATTCTAATACCTGTGTCAATTTATAAATGTAGTTTTTTTTTGTAATGTAAGTATCTTGTTTATAAATATGCTTGAATTTTATTTATGGCACTTAGATTTATAAATAAGCAAGCACTTATTTATTTTGTTTTCAGCCAACGGAAAATCAATTGTTGATAAAAAAAGAATAAAATACAATGAGGTAAACAGATTTAAACAACAAATCATAAACATAAAAAATATTTTATATTTTGAAAAAATAAGCAATTGGACCTTTGATCAGAGATAAATAAAATCATGGAAAAAATGTTGATACATGATGATTCGTTTAGAATATGTCATAATATGAGAATAATTCTTTACATAAAATTGATCATTTGTATAGCTAAATAGTTAGTAATAACTGATTTAGAGTACCAATTTAATGTTGAAGAGCAAAAAATGTGCTCACAATAATACTCCGTGTTTGATAAGAAGTAATTATTATCTTTAGAGGAAACGAAGTTTTGAACCTGAATCGTGTTGTGAATTGTGTAATCCAGGGAAGGAGGAGTCGTATAATTTTGCAACATCGGAGCACCGACCTTGCATTAAAGTGGCCTGTTTCAATCAAAACTACGTGTATGTATATTATTTATTGATGGTACCGCCTATTAATTTATGTAAATCGACATTAGATATTATTGTGATAATGTGATGGATACATTATGGTTTCTTAGTTCTTACCAAATTCGCTCAAATGGGAAAATAAAGGCCAACCAAAACAAGAAATGATAAGGAGCAGGAAATACGGCAAAGGTGAGGAGGAATTGTTGTTATTATCTGCCATTCTGATAGCAAAGTGTCCAGGGTTCAATTATAAACATTAGCTAGATTCGGAATTCAAGAGTAGGCAAATCAGTTACTCATCGACCATCAAACCACCATTTCGGCCACTTCAACGTTTCGCTCAGGTTAGTTCACACAAATAATATATTTACTTAATAAAGTATGTATTGCTAGTTTATACATTTTAGTATTTTATAACATATATCAAAAATTTAGGTATAATTTGAAAATCTTAATATCATTCAACTGTTTGATTGTTGAAGCATAACAGGTAATTTTTAAGTACATGACATAGATATCTTATAGATTTAATAAATACATTTGACTTTGAGTCTCAAAAAAAAAAATTGTGACCACCACATCATGACACAATTTTTTTAAAACTTTCATTTGCTTCGACTGCTGTCGTTAAATTTAATATGATACTTAAGTCTTAGTACAGCATCTATGGACTCTTAATCGAGTTGGCCATTACCAACATAAACGTATTTTTTCAATTTGCAACTTATTGAGTTACATAATTTCCATTTTCTTTTTCATTAAATTGACAATATAATTTATAATAATACTTGAAATTCGGTCGAAAACACATTTACTCAAATCACGATGTTAAAAATCAAAAATTAACCATCGACAATTGGTTATATTATAGAATAATATTATTAAAACCTCAGTGAAATGTGTAACAAAACCCTTTGTTTATCAATCATTATAATATAATGATGCCAATACATTTATAGTAGCAATAATATTTTGATCAGTTGAAATTTAAGTGTTCAGATCTGTGATAAATTAAATTAGGTAGGTACCATAATATTATGTAATTTTGTTTTTATCAACAAAACACAACAGCTGAAGTAGTTTGCATATAATCATTAAGTGTACAAGTAATTTATTATATCTATCTGTTTACGCATAAATCGATTTAGATGATTTAGTTGATTTTAAATATAACATAAAAACTTGCAATTAATTGAAAATTGTAAAACTATTACAAGCTGAACAATACGTACACCTACAAAAATCTGGTAGACGATAGACAGCATTTTGTTGTAATACAACACGGAATTCTAACTGTTAATGAGTTCATGATTTCTAATTAAAGTTAATTAACCACATAATATTTTACATAAAAATTGATGTTAATTATGACATCTTACAAATTAGTTATCTCCATTAGTTAGCAGAATATGATATGTATATAACAAGTATAAGTAGGTAATACAGTACTCGAACGCAACTATAATATATTTACGAGTGTACAATGTACATCGTATTATAATTTATCATAAACAAACTACAACATAATCCATTGACGTAGTCATAATTATAATGTCTAATTATATACTTTTATATTAGTGATTTTGAATTTAAAAAATAACAGAATATTTACAAAATATTAATTGAATTTGAATTTATTTCATAACTAAGCAATCATAATTATGTTTTTAATTTAAATAAAAAATGTATAATATATTTTAAAATGTTAAATAGATCAATATTGGTTATGAAATTAATCATTAAGTAGGTACCTAAAAAAATCACTTTAAAAATGTAAATAATTGACGACAATATGAACTTATTTGTTTAGGCACAGGAGTTGGTTTTTTAACAATATCTTGTATACAATATACGAAGACTATGTCTTAGACACTCAAGTCATATTTGACAACAGTCTTGATACTTACTAGTTAATTTTTTTCACGTTTCTTAAAAGTTTCAATGTAATATTAATTAGGTACTTATTTTGTTTGGATATTACCGTGTAAGATTTATAAAAAAACAAATAGTAAATAAACTATTTTCAATCAACTGGAAATTGTAGGAATACCATTCAGAAAATAATTATAGTTAAATTTATTCTGACACGTATAAATATAATTACGTGTCGAAAAGTACTATTTGTTAGTTTATCAAGTAGATCTACGGGGGACTGTGTTGTTATAATCTATGAAGACAGATTTGGAAATCCGGGAATACAATTTTGTTATTCATTTGTCCAATGAATGTTGACAGGGACAGTACCTTCTAGGAAACTTAAATACATTTTGTTGTCCTACAAAAAAGATTAAAAAAATTAAATAATTCTGCATCAGTGGAGATTTTCCAGTACTGAGAAGTTATTTTCGAGTATTTAATACATATAATTTTAGTTTATTGTTATGGTGTTGATAATTGATATGTTGCATATGTTCATATTGCAAACAAATTAATATTGTTTTATGATTGACCTTATACTTAGGTACGGCCTTTGATTTTTTAACTGATAAAGGTTATAATATATTTATTTCGTTATATTGTATTTATATAAATAAAATATGGGTAATTGTTAATATTATTGAAATATGTTGTTATAAGTAGGTAACATAATATTTGATACATATTTAGTCTTCGGTTATTCAATAAACAGCGTAAATAATAACTATTATACTATATAAATATTTAAATTTTTGAAAGTATTGAAGTACATATTATATTTAATTCTTAATAATTTAACACTGTATGAAAATCCTTTTGTAAATAGTTATAAATATATGAAAATGTAATTCAAATAATACTTTAATTTAAGTTATCACACTGATAACAACATTTTTAACGAACTAAAATTGTGAGAGGATCACTGGATTTTAATAATGGTAAAAGAGCATCGTATTAAGATACTTAAATTGTCCTTATCAGTACTTACCAGTAAGATGTACTACGAGTTATTTACATATATTTTGATGCATAATTATTGATAAGTAATACATATTTTTTCGTATAGAACACCATGATTTTGGGACGTCAACATCGTAGGCTGGCAGTCATGTCCAATTGTATTCGGATTTGTAGATGCCTGAAAACATACCCATCTACCATTCGACAATGTGGTGCGGGGCGATCCTACAGTCAACTATCTGTAAATAATTTGATGCCAAATGTGTCAAAAATCACTCATTTATCTAATTTATTTTTATTTGGATATTTCAGAGTATGCAATTGGACCTGAAACGAGCCCTGCAGTCGGCTGATTCGCAATCGGTCAATGGATCCTCGTTTGCGGATAGATCACAACTGAAATATGCACGACGATTAGTAATAAAATTGGGTAGTGCCGTAATCACGAGAGAAGATGAACACGGTATTGCCCTAGGTCGATTGGCATCAATTGTTGAACAAGTACGTATTGCATACGTACTATAAATATACATGCCTATCGTAGGAATGTAGTTGAACATATTTTATTAGTAGTATGTATAATTTTTGGTGATCTATTTTGTAAGCTAAAAATGTTTTTAGGTTTAAAAAATTAAACAGTTAATCTAGTAAAAAAATTGGTTATTAATAATGAAGAATGTTTGAATTAACGATATAGTAGTTATGGTTGGATTAAATTCAATGTTAATAATATAGTTGAGTGGTACTAAAATATATATTAATGGCATCAAGATATTCGTTAAAACAAATCATAAGATATGAGTGTTTTATAACTATAACTAATTATTAATACCTATACACCTAATATTATAATATAAGTACAGCCGTACAGGTATTATTGTAAATCGCAATGCTATAATAGAACGAAAAGCTATTTTAGATGATAATTTTGTTAATTATGGTACAGTCACAACTGTACAACCATTTTCTGTAGACTGTTTATTTATTCTATCATATTTATGTGCCGGCAAATAACCTCGCAGTTGATGCTTTAAACAATTAATAAAAAAAAAAATCTATCATATTTTTATAGTATTTTGTTTAAATATTTTTAAAAAAAGTGATATTTAAAAATTAATATCAAATTTATTGAACAATTTTCTAAAATAATCTTGAAAAATTCTGTTATCTCAAGTTAAAAAAATGAAAATTTATAATGGGGGGGGGGGATTTTAAATTATTTATTAATTCTTTGGATAAAACATATAGAACAATATTATTATCATAAAATAAAAATCTACAATAGAATTTATTCTATATCAACCACTCACAATTTTAGTAAAATGAACTTTTTCGTAAACAAATGTTCATAATATAATATTACATAAAATTACAAAATATTTATAGGTAGCCGAGTGTCATCAGGAGGGTCGTGAATGTATTATGGTCACCAGTGGAGCAGTAGCATTTGGAAAACAAAAATTGACCCACGAATTATTAATGTCATTGAGTATGAGAGAGACACTGTCGCCTAACGACCATGCCAGAAAAGATGTTAGGACATTGCTGAAGGCTAGAGCTGCAGCGGCTGTGGGTCAATCCGGGCTCATGTCTTTGTACGATGCCATGTTTTCACAATACGGTGTTAAGATCGCTCAGGTCCTAGTCACCAAGCCCGATTTTTATAACGACGAGACACGAAAAAACCTATTCAGCACGTTGTCAGAACTAATCAGTATGAATATCGTGCCTATTATCAATACAAATGACGCAGTGACACCTCCGCCACAGGACGACGACCTCATTAAGTCTAAAGGAAAGAAGGTTGGTAAATTATAAATGTTTAAACAACCATTTTAACGCACTTGGGGTAAATTAATTAATGCTCGTGTTCAGAATATTACGCTGTTATCATCACTGTTTTAATTCGCATTACACAAGCTATTATTAGACTTGTTGTAATAAAAGCTATTTGTGCTCCACATTTTTTTTAAATATGTTTTTAAGTCTATTTTTAAACAGTATATTATATATTATATGTTAATGCTATGCAGGTTATCAGCATCAAGGATAATGACAGTTTGGCCGCTATGTTAGCTGCCGAAGTTAGTGCAGACTTACTCATTTTGATGTCTGACGTGGATGGTATCTTTACGCGACCGCCAAAACAAGAAGGGGCGAAAATGATTTGGACATACAACAGCGATATGGCGGACGTAATACAGTTTGGCAAAAAGTCGACTGTCGGTACGGGAGGCATGGATTCCAAGGTGAATTGACTTTATTAAAATCACATTTACAACATTTAAAAATGATATAGTCTCAATACAATAACTGACTGTACAAAGCGCATTATTAATAATTTAATTGGTTTATCTGTTTATAGAGTGGCATATTTTAAAATTTTTGCTGGAGAAGGGGGTCAACAATTTTTTTAGTTCTGAAATTCTATAGGTATTGTATTATAAAAAAAAATTGTTATTTATTTATTCTTTGTATGAACATTTATTATTATATAACATCAGATTACAATTTCAATATCTTTAGTTATCCTTTTTTGGGGAAGGGGGTGTACTGTTCCTCTATAAAATCTGATAATTTATATTTTAATTGGTGAAAAAACATTTTTAAATATACCTGTGGTCAAAGTGGCTAAATCTGTTAAAAAGGAAAGGAAAACGTTAGTTTAGTAGTAGTTTAGTATGTCCTAAAAAAATGTGGTATCCAATTATTATTGTATTGGCATTTAAATTTCTGTACACAACTCTGATGCAGCCCTTTATTTTATATAATATTTAATTATGCATGCAATACATGATTTGTTTACACGATTTCAAGGGGAACCTTTTTGTCTGTTCCACAAGTTGAAACAGTCCATTTATAAATAATAAGTCACGCAAATTATCGTTTTAGGTACAAGCGGCTACGTGGGCGTTAAATAGAGGAGTTTCTGTAGTTATCTGTAATGGCATGCAAGAAAAAGCTATTAAGTCAATTGTGCTCGGCAGAAAAATTGGCACATTTTTCACCAATGCCCCAACTGCTAATGCCACCCCAGTTGAAACACTAGCTGAAAATGGTAAGTTGACATTTTTTTCTCGAACGTCAAAATGACATAAAGGTCAATAACAATACTATTAGTTGAATATAGTCTGCATATTATAAAGTGTTCAGACTAATAACAGTTGAATGCTAAGTACCAGTGCTCAAGATTTAATTACATACGTTGTATTATTTATTATCTTACCATAGGTGCCTACCTGTATTTTTTTTTTTAATGATATCTAAATAGCTATCAGAATAATGACATGGTCTAATAAAGTTATTGAATAACACTCTGTGCTAATATTAGGTTTTATCTAATTACCAACCGAATCATTGGGTAAATAATTTTGTACCTAAGCATTTTATTAGATAAACAATAAATAAATTGAAGGCATGTCTAAGAGGAATATAACTTATCATTTATCAATTTTGAATTTGCTTCGATAGACATATTACAAATATATAGCATATACATTTAAATTCTGGTGATTTTTCAGTAACAGATATGAAACAAATAAATGTTAAATTAACATTTCGCCCACTGTACGTAACAGAAGTTTTATATTCGAATTCATTTGCATTAATTAGGCACCAGACAGTCGAGCTATTATAGGTAGCAATAAAAATCTAATTATTAACTTAAATTGCATACATTTTAATTTAAAATATTTCTTTATTATAACACGGAATACAACCAAGGTTATCGTATTAAAATTGTAATTTACACAAAGTATTTGGTATCCATGACGACGGAATTTATATAAAAGTGAACAGGTGATTTAAAATTGAAGCTATCAGAATAGACGAGTGAAGTCAATCAGTATTATATGATATATTTTTTAAACTTAATAATGTATTCGTGAAATATATCCATTTATTTTGTTTTATAAATATCACAATGTACGAATGCACGATTAAACTATATGACATTTTTATAATTTAATAATTCTACAGCACGTTACGGGAGCCGTATCTTGCAAAAGTTACCAGCTGTGGACCGTGCAAGTGCAATAAATGCATTAGCTGAGTTGTTAATAAGCAAACAGGCAACTATTTTGGACGCCAATGAAAAAGATATAGCAATAGCTACCAAGGAAGGGACAGCTGCTCCTTTGATCAGCCGATTATCTTTGACACCAGCTAAACTCAAGAGCCTGGCCATAGGTAAGATTTATTCCACAGTAAAATATTATAATATAATATAAATTATTTGAATTAATAAATCTTTTTGCAGGTCTTAAACAGATTGCCGAGACTAGTCACACAAACGTTGGCAAGGTGTTAAAGAGGACTAAGATTTCAGAAAATTTAGATTTAACTCAGGTCACTGTTCCCATTGGTGTTCTTCTTGTCATTTTTGAATCTCGGCCCGATTGTTTGCCTCAGGTAAATATATATAAAATCTTAGAATTACAATATCATTCATGAGAGAGGGAGAGAAATATTACCCATATAATATTTATATTTTACATTTTATTAGAAAAAATAGAAAATGGATGATATAATTTGTTTAATTTTGCAAAATAAATAAAGTAGGTGAGAAAGATATAAAAAAAGAGTAATTTCTCAGATATTTCTGAACTCGCCTTTGGTGTTATCAAATACAGTCTTATGAATTTATTTAATAAATAAAAATATAAATGCGAGTTGTGATAAATATTTTTTGAAACAAATGTTGATGATTTGTAAAAACAATCTTATAACAACCTATACAAATTAATATGAACTCAAATTCAGCAAGTTAGTGAAATTTTATTTTATTTTTATTTTATAAGTTGCTGGAATTTTTCAAAAAAGATTAATTTTATAATCAAATTCAAATCAGCTTTGAGAAACATATTTATTTATATTTTAATATTTTCTATTTATATCTAGTATGAATTGAATCATTAGCCAAGTTGTTTTCTGTACCTTGAGTGTATAATATTTAATATTTATAATACCTATACAATTTCAACTTGTTTGTTTGATACTACTAGTGATATATTGTTTGATAGGTATAGCAAGTATGAAGAGAAAAAATATATTTTCAAAATAGTTTCATTCGTTGTTATGATTTTTTTTCCAATATTAAAAAGCCCATAAATGTATATTATTAATTTAGAATCAATTTAAAGAGAAAAAAAATGTTTGTTATCACTCCATGGAAAGTTTGACATCACTGTGTATTATCTACACAATAGTAAGATTATTCGTGTTTTATATTTTGTAAACAATGTCTTTTGAACAAAATACAAATAAAATATGACAGATTTATATGATAGAGGATATTAATTAGTAAAAAGTCAAAATGAAAAAGGTCATAAATCGACACATAATATACAAATATTATTTATGTTAGTTTGTATTTTGATTTTTCAATTAAAAATTGTCCGTATATTGTATTTAATGAATTTATTCGTAATGTAAAATAAACGGTAGTTGTTCTTTTGTTTTTTAAAATATTGTATTGAAATCAATAACATCTTTTTTTATTTTATCATTCTTTTATTTTAAACTTGCACACCGTATATTATACGGGTATACAGTGCCCAATGGGGATATATCCAATAGCCGTAGAGGTGAAATCAACGAGTAGTCAATACCGGTGTTTTCCGTTTTACATATAAACTAAAAATATGATTACAAATCATGAAATTAATGAAAATAAAATGTTGTAAAGTCAAAATGTTCAGAAAAATATACTGTACAAAATGTATCTCCAATTGTTTCATAAAAAAAAAAAAAAAATGAAAGATACATTTTTAACTTTTTTACCAAAAAAATAAAAATAAATTAAATTTAAAAAACAAAATTTATATAGTCCTTGTCTCTGTGCGTCTAATAAAAAAATATATTTATGATATATTTATCATCTCAAGATATATCGTAATGGGTAAATCCTCACTGGACACTCTGTTTATAGTTTTAAATACTTTATCGTGCATTATAGCCGTATAAAATGTGTTATTGAAAATAAAATGATAAGCTTCACATTGGATAGAACGGCGTAAGGGTGTTTGCGTTAAATGGTTAATGTGGTTAATGTGGTTAACATTTTAGTGCACTGAACAATAATAATGTATTATATAATGTTGCCACCCCATTCCCGCTGTGTTCAACACTCGAATAATGTAAAATGTTATTATGAATGACTTTTGTGGGTTCACAGGTAGCTGCTTTGGCGCTGAGCTCGGCAAATGGACTTTTATTGAAAGGAGGCAAAGAGGCGTCGCACAGTAACAAAGCACTCATGGATATAGTCAAAGAGGCATTGGCCACGGTCGGTGCCCAGGACGCCATATCGTTGGTAAATTATTCACAGTCGTGTTTCTCGACATGTCACTAAGAAAAATATGACTAATAGTGTTCCGAAATGGACGTTTGTGAATTCACTATATTAAAACTTAATAATATTATCGAAGTCATTGGCACAGGGGGTGTGGTGCCTTTGTTAAAGAGCTGTAGTGGACTGTTTAGAATTGTGTCAATTTGTCCGCAACATTCAACATTTACTATAATTTCACAACCATCTTTACTTATTGTCACATTTTTTTTTAGTATACCTGCATTTTACAAATGAAATTTTTGATACTATGTATGGTTTACACATAATAATATGACTTTGAACAATGATTGGTTAGGTATTTTACTACGCATTGATATTTATAAACAAATCGATCATCAGAACAAGAGATGATAAAATATTATTTTCTGCTTAATTTAATTTATGTTTTCATAATTATGTATGCTTATCCTTAATTTCAGATATTATGCATATGGGTACTAGGTAGGTACTACATAATAAGACACATTGCATTTAGAACGCAAAATAATCTATAGTTTTCTAACGAGTCATAACAATCAATAACAATTCACCTCAAGTATTTGGTAAATACTTGTTAATAACTAATAACCTTCAACACATCAACTGAACACGAAAGTTCACTGAAGCTCGTCTAGTTTGCTTATTTAGAATTTCAAGAATTGAAATTCCACGTACTCGAGTAATGATTTGGAAACTCACAAAACCAAAGTTTTGACATTGACATTCTTCAATTCTAAACATATCAACTAAATTGGATTAAATATTTTGATTTTTTTTTTTTGTTTAAAAATGGTTACAAAAGCTTTTTTATTTAGTAGGTACTTAATACTGACAGATTAAATTATTTATAAAACTTTAAAAATTTTATAAAATATAGAAAATGATTTAAATACATTTTTAAACATAAAACTTATGTACGCATATTAGTTAGTATATTTAAATAATTATAAAGGTTAACAAAAATGACAAAAAACTAACGTACCTACCTATAACATAGAATTCTCCAAAATAGTAAAGAATATTTTATGTATAAATTATTTATTGTTCTTGTAATAATTATTAGTCGACATAATTTTTTCCAAATTTTAGCTTGTGACTCAAATTAACTACATGTCTTAATAGTAACCGACTTAACTCATGTAACTGAGTCAACCATTTATGAAATAGGTGTCGACCCGGGAAGAAATCAGTGATTTATTAGCCATGGAGAACCACATTGATCTTATTATTCCTCGTGGATCTAGCGATTTGGTCCGTAGTATTCAAGACCAATGTGCGCACATCCCCGTATTAGGACACGCTGAAGGAATATGCCACGTATACGTAGACAAGGATGCCAACTTGGATAAAGCTCTGACTATAAGTAAGCAGTTTTTAGAAAACGTTCTGTTTTACCAAAGTGCAAAAATTATATCTAGAATTTAAATTTATACAATATTATAGTTCGTGACTCCAAGTGCGATTACCCAGCCGCATGTAACGCAATGGAAACTCTATTAATCCACGAAGATTTGTTTGGAGGACCGTTCTTCAATCAAGTCTGTGATATGTTAAAGAAAGAAAATGTAAGTGTAAAATAATTATTCAATCCGTGCAGTTTAGTTTAATATGGATTAGACAACAATACAACATAGGCACATAATAACACTTTATATATTTTGAATAGATTTTATTACGATATTACATTATATGAAAACTAACACTATTAGAAAATATAATAACATTTTCGGAAAATATCTTAGAAAGTAGAAACTATAGTAGGATAATCGAAAACAATTTAGTATACTTTATAATAATTAAAACTTTAATGTTCTAATTTATACTGTTTTCATTATGCGTTTAAAAAACTTTAACACTTTTTCAAATGAACTTTTTATGATCTTTTTAACCGCTGAGTGTTACATGTAATATAACGTGTATTAATGACATATATAAATAATTTTATTTTTACACGTACTAATATGTTATCAAATTATACTCGTTATACATATAGGTAATCTTACATGAAGCAATCGTAATTTTAAATTATACTTTAATTTATAGTATATTATTCTTTTTTAAATCTTTCAAGTGAAAATTGCATGCTTATTATTAAAAGTCCTTTTATCAAATTTCCTAATTTCTTTATTTCAGTTAATGTATACCCATTGATTCATATTTTCCAACTTTCGTCTAGTAAACCTTGAATCTTTTCCCCCAAATACCTTTTATCCGAATCGATATAAAATCGATTAAAATCAATAAATTATAATGCATAATATAAAAAATAAAAATAAATAATAAATAACATAATAAATGCTGTAGGTTACAATTAAATAGGTATTTTAAAATCGATAAATTATAATACATATAAAGCGGTCAATGACCTGTTGTCGAGGCCTTTATTTATAATAATAGAAAAAATAAATACATATAAAAATTAAATTAATAATATGCGCGATTGCCCTCAGAAATTGTAACTCCTAGTATGTATTAAAATTAGGAGTAATGGACATAATTCGGTTTTGAAATTCCCTCCATTTTCTTTTAGGCTAAGTTCTTACTTTTCGTCCTACACTCAGCTCCGCGATCATTATTTCTTCATCAGCTTGTTCTTTTTGGAACTCACCGGGAGCAGAGTAAAGGTCGGGGTGATGTTTTCCAATCATGATCTGGAAGCGATTGTGCCATCCCACGCTTACATTATTTGTTTTATGTGATCCAGTCAGAGCTGCTTGATTCTGATTCCAAATTTCTGGAGGACAATATAGAAAAATCCTTCGTCTTCTTCCTGGAGCTGTTACTCTAACCACATAGTTTTCTTCAAAATATTCTAAAATTGGTAAAATATCTTCGTGGCACATAATTTTTCATGAGCGAAAAAATGAGAGGAACTTCAGCCAAAGGTACGAATACCAACCTCATATGAGTGTACATTTTTAATGAACGATCGTCGGGGTCATTGTATGCGGCTTGAAGACCAGCACACTGGATTTGTTGATAAACTGATTGGCCGAAATGAAAAAGCAACAACTGAGAGGAGAATTCGGATAGACTTCTTCACAGGCGTTGATTATGGCTTTTTCAAAGTCGGTCATGATCTTAACTTTTTCGCAAACAATCATGTGTTCGTTAAAAGAAGATTGTACTGCTCTGAGCACAGCGGCATACTGAACAGTTACCTTTGACGACAAAAGTGCATGGACGAATGGCAAAGCAACTGTGTCATGAACATCATGTTGTTTGCATGTTCCCCGAATCATGGATACTTGTGTGAAAATAGTGGGACACGTTATAATATAATAAAAAGCTCCTCATCAATTTAATTTTTACATTTTTCATTTCGGGAACTATAACCGTTGGAAAAAAAGCGTTCGAGAAAAAAGGTTTCGAGTTTTTGGATTTTCGGTTAAAATACCATTCGGGAATTTCAATTCGGAAAAAAACGGCCAGTACCATATCAAGCAGTTACATTTTTATTTCGAATTCTATGAACTCAAAAATATTATATTTTATGGCATACTTAATATATAGTTCTATAACATATATACTAGCGTATAATTTCAGTAAGATGTAAATTAGATGTAAATTATTTATTTTGTTATTTTACAGGTGGAACTATTTTCTGGTCCAAAATTATCATCTCGTTTAACTTTTGGACCACCACGAGCAAAATCACTAAAACACGAGTACGGTGAGCTAGCTTGTACAATTGAATTGGTCTCTGGAATGGACTCTGCTATTAATCACATACATACATATGGAAGTGGTCATACAGAAGTCATCATTACTGAAAACAGTAGGTTTTAGAATATTTATATTGATGAACAATTCATATTAATGATATCAAATTCTTCTTTTTTTTTTGACAACCAGCTGAAGCCGCTACTAAATTCCAAAGAGATGTTGATAGTGCTTGTGTATTTCATAACGCTAGCTCAAGGTTTGCAGATGGATTTAGATTTGGATTAGGTAAGTGTTATGTTTTGTATTTCATCATTTTTGAAAATATTTGGTCGTAGATAAATCTATTTTTTAGTTTCAATTTAAAGTATGAATGCAACTGTTTGTACTAGTTTCACCAAAATTAGAAAAAAATACATATAATATAACACATGGGTTAGGTTATTTATAATTCAAATACATAATATTATTATAATGTTATATTATAGTATAATATTTGTGTACATACAGTTGAAGTTATTCAAATGTACTTAAAAACTGTTTGATTGTACAAAAACAAAATTTAACAATAATTAAATTAACTTAGAGCCCGAAGCTACTTATTAAACAATGACTATAGTGACATCAAAAGACGTCATTATGCAACATTTGTCTGATTCGTGAAAACAACAGTTATGCTGATGCACTTTGTGGCGTATACTATATACAGTATAGTAGATTAAAAAGGGTTTTGGTAGTTAAAGTAACATTCCATTAAATACAATTGGTCTAACAGTAACTTCGCTAAAAAGGATCTCTTTATATTTCCAGAAATGAGTAGATAAGAAGACCTTGTAGGAAAAACTCACATTTTAAAACATTTGTAAGTACGTCGGTACAATATCTATGAATATAGAATGTGTGAGGGTGACAGAAGCGGTGTCGTTTTATTTAAATAGATTATGGAATTAACGAACTTTTCTAAAAATGTTTGTTAAGTTCGTCGGTGCCAAAGAGCGTATTATAAGGAACAATTAACTGTTTGGTTTCATTAACCTATACCGATGAGGTTAATTAAATGCGTTGGGTTCAAACACGTGGTTTTGGTTATACCCATGTTAAATTTATTATTGATCATTACACCTTTTGTACTTCATCATTTATATTACTTAATTATGTATTTATTGACTTTAAAACTTTCGCTTCGATTTTTTAGTGCAATCTTCAATTCCACTCTTACTATATTGAATATTTTATATTTAACTTTTTTGTTTTATGTTTTATAATTTATAATTAGTATGGCATTTTAGATTCTCATACATTAAAAACTTAAATAAAAAGGATCGATTTAAGGGTTTCTTCTGTTAATGGATGAGGTGCTGATGACAACTACAATGAGCTCCTAAAGTAGTTGACATTTTAATCTAACTGGTAGGTATCTAAAGACTAAGACTGTTTTGAAATTTGCGGGTCTTGAGAATTAATATGACATAGAAATGAAAAAGTAGGTACTTAATGTTAATAAAAAAAAAACATCATGACTAGAAATTATAAGCTATGATTACAGACAACATTAAAAGGAGGGAAAATAGGAAACCACTTTGCAATGCAGTAGGTGTCAGATGTAACTAGTTAGGTCACTAAAATGGGTGTATTGAACACCGAATTCAATGATAAATCATTATTTTTTGATTCTTCAAAATGATTCTGAATGAAGACGATCTGTCTGCCGATTTGACCAATTACATTTTATCATATATTTATGTTCCTATTATAAACGTTTATTTACTTATTATTAATAGGGTACAAATCTAAATATTTTTAAAATATCATTGTTTATAGTAAAATGTAATAATATACATAACAATATTTCAAGTCCCCACAAATACTTTCGAATTAAGACAAAATAATTAAGACTGCTTATGATACAAGAGAAACTTTGTATTAAATTTGCATACCTTAGCTAGAAAAATTTAATATTTTATAACTTGTTGATTATATTCTGTCCAGCAAAATGAATGAACAGGCTTATTCGGGTTATTTCACTCACCCTCACGTGGTGTGGATGTCCTTATGCCATCGAGACCGGTTCCACTATGACTAAGTTCAATATTCTTCTATCCCGTTACTTACAGTCTACAGACAATAAATACACACTTACATCATTGTAAAATCAATACATTCATCACTCTGCTCAGAATCTAAAATATTAAGCACTAAATATATTAAAATTATATCAAATATTGGACAAAGAGTTTTCAGCTTACTTATTATTTATTGACGGTTAGCGGATAAAGTGAAAAATATAAATTGTTATTTGAATGTATTTGATAAAAAGAAAAATTAAAATAATAAAGAAAATATATTTTATTATATTTGATTTAAAATTACAAATTTAATTATGCGACTTAAAGTAAATATTTTATTTAGTTACTTAGTACAAGCCACTGAGACAAGAATGATAATTTATCAGTATTTTGTATATTTCACCTCGAACGTAAAATATATATTTTCATGATGACTTTTTAATAATAGTAATAATAATCTTTATTTATTAAAATATAATGCAGTTTTGATGTATGTAATATAATAGGGTAGATTAATTAAGTGTATATTTCGTACAACGTAGTTCAAAAAGTGTTGCTAATTTAATAATGAAAAAAAACCAACATATATTACATTAATCGTTTGAATAAATGTTTGCAAATTGCAGTCATCCTGGGAATCGGGATTTCGTATTTATTGTTTTTCGGAAGATTTAAAAATACAAAATTCTCTGCACGGGAGATGTACCCCGGGACCGATAAAAGACCCTCGAGAAAATTCTATTTATTATTGCATTTATCAAAACTGTTATCTATATTTTATTTTTTGTGAAATTATTTTTTTTTTTATCTCTTTGTCTGTTTTCAATATTTGGACATTTTTTTGTAGGTTTTTCAACCTCGCGGGGTTAAGAGTTAATAACTATTCTACAAATCGTATACAAACCATGCGCTATAGGCTAAAGTTTTCGAATATAAATGCATTATGATGCATAATAATATATACATCGCATGAGTATTGCGTACGTTTGTATACGATGCGTACAGCTTAGGGATATTGTGTACACATATGAACGATAAATAGCGCTTTACGCGAATCCATCATATGGTATCCAATGTTATAATAATAATATATTGTATGTTCGTCGGGTAATGCGTTACAGATTGTGTGGAGTGTGTCGTATAAATGCATAACAATTACCGGACGCTGTTCGACCCCAGAAACGTTAAAAATAAAAACCACGTAGACATCAACACAATGCATTTAAATTATAATTTTTTTAAAGATTTTTATACTAGGATGTATTTCAATAATTATATTATTCGTTAGACATAAAACTGTTGTACAAAAAATGTTATACCTATTCATTGATTTCTATGTAAAACAAAACTCGAGAAAAAAAATTGTCTATGTTAATAAAAAGTAAAAACAATTATTCTAGAACGATTTATAATACACTAGGTACACATAGTTGTTTTCATCGGGAAAGAAATCTTTTCGCGTGGGAAAATATCCAGGAGTTACAAACGTACTTATAATACAACACATTTAAAAGAATTAGTCCTCGAGATAGATGAATACTTTATCTGCAGTGTAATATCAGATATTTTTATTCTAACGTTTCAAATATTAAACATTTATACATTTTATATTTAAAAAAAGCTTTTATTGAAATTGCATTAAATAAAATATTACAACACAAGTATTTTTGTGTTGACACAAATTCAGGTCTGGTAAACAAACAACGTTTTCATATCTATATATCGTGTTAACATTTGGAGTCCGATTGACTATATATCTGCAGTCTTGGGGATTCTTTTCAAAAACAATTTTCCTTTGTTATTTCGAAATCTCGCAACAATCAATAATGGTACTGATACGATATCACAATTCACTTGTTAATAAATTACATTGAAATTGTATAGAATTACGAGATTTTTCTCATTATTTCGTTCAGTCATTAAACTATAATAAATTAGGAAACCATCAAAACCCGCGAATAGCGATTGTACAGTAGGTATACATATTATATACTATTAGAATTACGTAATACAATGCATACAATCGTAGTTACTGTTGATAAAAAATATATTATTTTAGAAACAATACAATATTATGATTAGGGTTCGCAAGTGGTAGAAGTTGCATATTTTTCTATAGGCTCTCAATGCTGTAAAACGATAATATTTAAAAAGTATATTTACAAAATAAATGCTTAGTTTTTTACAGCATAATTTTTAAACGGCATCATTAATATTTTCTAAAATAAATTACATTTTCTTTTATTGTCTAAATATGTTGTACTCAATTATTTGATGTAATTATTTTTTTTTTCTAAAAATGTATGAAAACTATCGAAAGCCAATTTTTCCACTATCCAACGTGGTTTTGTTATAGCCTGACGGTAAACGACGCAACAGTGTATTATTATTTTTTGTCAAACCAGATTTCTTTCACATATTATTAATATCATAATATTTTAAAAATAATAGTTATAAATGATATACTCATATAGTATCTTGTAACTGATAAAATATATCACGTTATGATTCAATTTCTATATTTCATTAATTTTAACTTTTATAACCCAAGTGGATTTCTATTGTTTAGACAACGATTTTAACGTAATTGAGAGCATTCTCATAGTGACGTGTCAATAACCCTCTACACGATTATTAATTTTTTTTTGTCTAAAAGTATCAAACCTTCTGCTTTTTATGTTAACTAACTTAGTTATCCGATAAAATGTCTGAAAATATGTTTTAATTATCTCGACTATTTAAACTTACTTAAAATCCATTTTCTTATACATTTTTGAAATAAATAATTTTATTAACTTATCAAAATTCTCAATTTCAAAAAATTAAAAATTCGGTATACTCTAATTCATAGGGCAATACGTTTTCCAGAAGGTTAATAATTCGAATATCAGGGTAGTCGTTATACAATAATATTGCAAGCATGGGATATTTGTATATTGTATTGTGGTACAGAAACTAGAAAACACGGGATTAATATTACACGTTAATTTCCAAGAGTTCAAAATGAATGAGTTTTTTTTCCTACGATTGATTTCAGGCGCCGAGGTGGGCATCAGCACGGCCAGGATACACGCACGTGGTCCCGTAGGCGTCGAAGGACTTCTGACGACCAAGTGGATACTGAAGGGCGATGGTCATGCGGCTTCCGAGTTCGCAGAAGGAGGTGACAGGACATACTTGCACGAACACCTGCCCGTCGACAACTAGCAATCACCTGCTAAAAACACTCGCAAACTGCTGAGCGGGTTCTTTTACGCTATTGCAGCAAATGTGACCAAAATGTTTTTCTTCCAGAAACTCCGAAAACCAGACGAATAATAACAATTATTACTATCATTATTGCATTGGAAAGGTTTTCTTTCTCCCACCCCTTCCAATAAATTACTATACTTTAATTCTTGCCCAACACTCGACATATTAATTTGATATTGTTGTGTACATTATAGTTAATGTTATTATTATTATTATTATTATTATTGTTATTATTTTATTTGTTAGAATTTAGATTTTTAAATGTCTGTATATGTGTACAAAATATTATAATATTGTAGCGCCAACATTCTTAATAATTGCATACATAAGATCTTTTCACGACGAAATTTCTTCATTAATGTTATCATTAAACTGTTGTAATTTTTAAGTAAAAACTGAATATCCTCGAACCGTAGTCTCGTGAATTCTTTCAAACGGTGGGCGGGAGTGTGCGCGTTTGAATGCACCTTTAGGGCATCTTTCATATTTTCCTTAGTGACCGGGAATTTTCGTCTACTGTTTCGTTGTAATAAGTACTCAATATTTTATGCGTAAACGAACCATTAACTTTCAAGATAACCGCAGATTTAACATTATAACGTCGCGCGTCGTAGCTAACAATATATTATTATACAACATTCACACAATGTTAGGATTTGCAGTTTTCGTGTGAAAATTTGAATAGTTTTTTGGAATGTCCTACAAAAAATGAAATTTGGAGTGTTTTAAAAATAAACTGAAAAAAAGCGACTCAGTTTTGAAACTTTTTGAGCGAACGGTCGATTTTTTATGATGGTAATGATAAATTTGCGCGTGTACATTTTAATTTCGTATAGATCGCGTGTATTTTTTCGTACACCAAAGGTAAGCGTTTACTTATTGTGTACCTATGTATTTTAAGACTTTATAGTTTTGAAAATTAATTAATATAGTCTAACAACTAAAAAGTTTTATTCTGTTTATTAATGCAAAATAACACACAACGATTTTAATAATTAAAATATTCAGAGAAACAATAAATAAAAAATAGTAATAACGATAAAAATAATTATCAAATAAGTAGGTATATAGATTGATTAGATTAAATAACTTAAATTAAATAAAAAAATATGTTTATACTTTAGCCATATTACTTACAGTTATGCGAATATAAGTGTTATAAGTTCTAACCGCCAATCGCGCTAGGACTCAAAAAAGGCACTTAATCGATTTTTTTTATTTATATATGTTTAAAGAATGAAGAATTATAAAGATCTTTATTCTTCGCGATTTAAAATTATCAATGCTCTACAATCGTTTTATTACGTTATGTTTTGCTTCGAATAGAAACAAAATTCAAGAATAACATTATTGTTAGTTTTTGGATTTGGCAATCATTAAATCATTCATTATGAATGATATTATATCAGTTTGAAGTTTAAAATTGCCCTCCTAAACAATTTGATATTTTGAGATAACACCTTTTGGTTCCGTGGCCATAAAATGTTTTTTAGAGTTTCCACCTTAAGGCTTAAATACACTTTAAATAACTTTAGATTTTATCAGCCCCGAGCGTAAATCACTTGAAGAATGCCCAGAAATTAAATACTTTTCATGAATCTACTCACATTAACAATATTATATTAATTTTTTCTAAACTGCAGTAGATATAAATAATGGCAAAAAATAGAAAGCTTTAAAGTAAAGAAAAAACATTCAAGTTATTGATACAATTTCATGAAATATACACTGGAAATAACTTATATACATATTAATTTGTTAATTTTTAAAATTCTTAATGTTGTACGATGTGACATATTATTTTCAGTTGAACTTTTTCAATCAACTGGATGAAATATTTGTTTCACTCCAACACAATTTTGTTGGCTATGCATTAAGTGAGCAATTTTTTATTTAGGTGGTTAATATAGATATTTATATAATTTAAACAGTCTATGAATTTATGGTTTATAAGCAGGTACTGTTATGATGTTTGAAAGTGAGAGTTAAAAGTGGGAGATTAATGTACACAAACATTGATTATAGTTTACTGTATAGTGTATGATATCCTATATTATTGTTCCTTAAGTCTTTAAATAATATCTGCAGTTGACTATTTTCTCAATTTCTGTATTCTTCCTTTGATATTGAATCGAAACAATAAATAATTGTACTAATGTAAACGATAACATAAGTATAAGAGAAAAGTGATTGGTTGGCTATTATACAAAGATAATTTATTTTTTGGTTATCGCCGACTAAACTACAATAAGTATTTGAAATTTATGTATAGACTGAAACCGATAACCACGTTTGTCTCATTAGTTTTATCTGAACTTTGCGGTGTGCATAAAAGTGCCATTTCCGCATAAATTTAAACGATTTTTAAGTCCATTAATCTATTTCTTTGTACACACCAAGTCAGTTCATGCAAGTTAAACAGCGGAATTTTTGAGAAAGTGACGGCCCATAAGAAGTTTCCATTTCGTCCATGTCCATACCATAAATTCGCCAATAATTTGGATTTGTTCTCATCGGGTCTAAATAAAAAATATACTATAACGTTTTACAGTGTTGATAAATCATGTTTATTACGAGCGCCTGCACAACTAACGTCTATAATAACGACTATACGCACTAAAACTTAACTGCTCAGAAATATCTGTGCACAGCTATATACAGTTAAAAAACATAATAATATAAGTTTTCGTGAAGCATAAATAATGATATGAATTGCAGTGAATGATATTTCAAATCGATCAGTAATCGATAAACCCGTTTATTATGCATCACATTTATGCCTAAATGCCTAATAATACAAGAACTGTGTAGATTTCGAGAGCAAAAATATCGATTAATGTTGTTTTTTTTTTTAAATCGGTACAATTTAATTATAGGTATTTTATTATTGGAGCTAGGATTTTGGTGACTTTTGCATTTTTTTTCTGTTATACAATTCTAACCAAAAACTACATTTGTTTCGTAATATAACAATTTAAAATATGGAATTTTTATTTTGCATTTTTTTGCATTTTTTGTGTTAAATGCATTTTATTGTATTTTTAAGGTCATTTTTACGTAATATTACAAATATTACGTTAATTTTGTGTGTTTAAACTAATTCTTGTTTATTTTAAGCTTTTTTAATATGTGTTGTAAAGGTAATCCCGAGTACGTATAGTACCTATAGGCAATTACCTACTGCAGTCCATTGAAATTGAAAAAGTAATATAATTAACTGTCAATGTATCCGATAAGATTAAATATCGAACGAACCCATAACTATTTAGGTAGGTATACAATAGTAGCTTTAGTAGTGAATTCGACACGTACCTATGTGGTTCTACCGATCTTAACTGTACAAAATGCCCACAATTAAGTCAACAGTAGAAAGCCGTTTACGCAGTTTGGTGAGCGAGTTTGGTGCCGATATTTTTTTTTATATAAAATCTAATTTTTGTTTCATTCCTTCAGAAATACAAAAATATGGATGCTTCTGGAATCTTATTATCAGAATCTATTAATAAAATAAAACAAATTGAGACAGCATTGTCCCTTGCCCCTAATGTAATCAGAGAAACAATATCAATCAAACTGAAAAATGTTTTGATGAAAAATAATGGGTTCAAAGTTTTAAAAAACATATCTGCTATTCTGGACGGTGAAAATACAACAAGTAGAGATGGTATTCCGGAAGACCTAACTTTAAATGATATGGTTCATTTCAAATATGCCTCTGTTACTTCGAACGAAGTTTTCTCCATATAAAAACATTTTATATGACCGCCATCGCAGCTTCCTGTTTGAAAATCTTAAGAATCATCTAATCGTGCAATGCATTATATGTGTACAGGTGAAAAAAAAATATGATATACTTTTCATTAAATTATTTTAATTCGTGCTTTTTTTGATTTTTCAGAATAATTATACAAGGAAGCAGTTACATTCACAGGTCTATTATGTTCATAATTAATAATTAATAATAATATTTATTTTTAAGATACATTTTATTCGCTCATCTAAGTCCATTTTTGGGTCATTTTTCAAGTTCATTTTTTTAGAGTTTTTGGGTAATTTTTGCATTTTTTTTAGTACAGTTTTGGGTATTTTTTAGGTCATTAAAATTCTAGCTCTATTTATTATTATTAAATATTACTGTCTAGTCTGAAGTTTTATGCCCAACCTAATTTTTCTAAAGTCTCTTCATATATAACTCCAAAACTGCTCCAACTCAATGTTGCATTGCGATTACACCGAAAGTGTGGTTAATTATTGAAAGGTACTATTATTCTTAACCGGGTTACCGGAAAAAGGAGCGGGTCTACGATAATAATTAAACACGATGAAACGTCGAGTTTTTTGTTTTTGTCGTAAATCTGTCCCCCCTCCCCCTAGATATATATCTGCAGACCGTAATTATTTTTTGTCTTTTACTTATCCCTAAAATTGACGCGTGAAACAAAACCGTACCCCATCGGGGGTGTACAAAGAAAAACGTCTTACACACTTTCTGTGTTCATCATGACCATACCTATACCAGTTGCAGTGGCGTGCTCGGATTTTTTGAAGGAGGGGGGGGGATTTGGATTTTCAACTTCCTAACCTAGCCACGTGTGTATAGTTGTATGTATGGCAGTATAAAATAATATATCTTCGATTCATCACAATTTAGGTTTTATCTTTTATTTGAAAAATACACGTCGTTTGGGTGGCCAACCCCCGAACCTCACGAACACGCCTCTCGTCAGTTGTGCAGTTGTACGTTAGTCGTTATAAATAATATAATATATATATATAAACTTATTTTCGGCTGACCGCTGTACCCGCTCCCACTTATTCGGTTACCTGAGTAGCGAGGAGTAAAAATGCATTTGTTCGAATCGACTAGACCCTATAAATATAATATATAAGAATTAGATGGCGGGCGTGACGTGCATAGACTCATTTAACATTCCCGTAGTGCGTAAGTAGAACGATTTAGTTTGTGAAACGTGCATCATTAGTGTTGCCTGCTCGCCCCTTTGCACATAGTTTCGACTCAACCCTCGGCGCAAGTCTTCGCGGAAGCGTGATTATATTATTATTATTTAATCCGCGCCGATATCTACTGCAATTCTACAACAACTGCCGCGGGTCGGCGGACGGTCGTTTGTTACACGCTTTATGGCTAAACTGCAGTCGATTTCAAGTCGACCACTACTGTGCCATGGTCGTAGAAAAATAAAATCGTAAACACGCTAAATGTGCTCGCAACAACAATACAATATGCTTAGGCAGGCTGCACTACTAGCTTTTATTGCCACGATAATAGGTAGGCTTATTATGTAAAACGGTGCAATTTACCTCATTCAGTCGATACTCTTTCATGCTGAACACGGCCCTTCTGAAACCACCGCTCGTCGCGTGTGGTGGCGTACAAGAATATTTTTTTAGATT